GTAAAGTTTATTCATAAAACGGACAATTTTGATAATCTTCTAGTCCTACTCAGGTAAAACTAAATTTAAAGATCTGAATGTTGTTAATATAAACAAATTGGTAGGCTAAGTTATATACACACATACACACACACACATATACACACTCTTACACACGCTATAGGATAACATTGAATATATACAGGGTGGCCATAAAGTTCATGTGAAATTTTAAATTGCACATGATTTTAAGTTTCACATGAACTTTATGGCCAGCCTGTGTGTGTGTATGTATATATATATGTATATCTTTATAAGCATTGTGCATATATATTTACATATATACATATACACATACATACATGTTTAAACAAAATCAATAATTCGTGGATTTTTGGAATAAGTTATACCTTCTTAGCTCTTTTATATTGTTTTGTTTTTTGAGACAGAGTCTCACTTTGTAGCCCTCGGTAGAGTGCTGTAGCACAGCTCACAGCAACCTTAAACTCTTGGACTTTTTTTTTTTGCTGCGGCTGGGTTTGAACCCACCACCTCTGGCATATGGGGTCGGCGCCCTACTCTTTTGAGCCACAGGTGCCGCCTAGCCTTCTTAGCCCTTAGTAAAGTAAATCAACTTAAATTTTGTCTCCAATAACTTCTGCCAGGTCAGGAAAGTTCATGAAAAATAGATTAAAGCAACAACTTCACAGTTAACAGCCTAGGATGAAATCTACATCACTTCATCAAATGTATTGTTCTAAAGTAGTGCTGTCTGACAAATATTGGGAGCTACATATATAATATTTGAGAAAACAGTTAAAACGAATTTTAATGATATATTTAACTCAGTATATCCCAAATATTGTCATTTTATCATGTCATCAGTATAAAAGTAGCATTGCTTTTGCTTTTTAGTTTAAATTTTAGTTAATTAAAAGTAAATAAAAAATTTAGTTCCTCAGTTTCTTAGCCATTGTTCTTTTTTTTTTTTTTTTCTTTCTTAGCTACCTTTCAAGTGCTCCAGTAGCAAAGTGAGCTAGTTAGTGGTGCCCATATTATTGGGAATAGAAAGCATTTTTTTCTTATAGATCATGTTAGTGGTTAATTTTAATTTAAAATTATTATAAAATGCAGCTCAAGTATTAGATAGGGAGCTCCTATAAGGATGCAATATTACATGTTAAATATAATCTTTTCACCAAAGAAGAAACTTATTTTTCTTTTTAGGAACCTATATTCACAATGAAATGGACAAATTCACAAGATATGTGAATTATTAGTTAATATTTACTTTTGATTTTCAGTTAGCTATAAAGAAAAAGGTAACAAAGATACTTTATTTTTTTGGTAAGAGTTTTATTCCTGAGAACCACTTATAATCAATATGTAATCCATATGATTACAATATAATCTGTATTTGCAAATGTGAAATTCAAGAGAATAGTCATTTTTAGTAAAAAGAATACACTGATTTCCATAGCAGGAAGAAATTAACTAAGCTGCACAACTTATTCCTAAGGGATATATAAGCATATCCAGGATGGGTTTTTGACATACATGAGTCAAAATATTTGCTTTTTATTTGACAGTTCCCATTTTTTTCTGGCTGCTTTGAGACTTTCTGTTACTTCTTCCATAAAAGTCAAAGAGTTGATTTTGGAGAGTATGACATAAAGGATATTTGTGAAATTCTCTGTATAGTTTTAGCTGTGTCAATCCCTCATACTCCTTTGGTTATTAACCAATATTCAGCCGTGTTGGGCTCCCAAACATGTCTCTGGAGATTTCTTAGATGTTCTGATATTTGGCCCATAGACAGACTTCTCTTAGCCCCTTTGTTCTAGGTGACAGTTAGCAAAAGGGAATTAAGCTTTTCATAGAATTATGCTACCATGGAGCATATTGTGTTCTTGACCATTCAGCAAAAGCTTGTGATATGAATAAATGATATACCCAGGTACACAAGGTCAAGTACAGTTGAGGAATATTTTTGCTTAAGTTTCTGAATGAACAATAGGAATCTAATTTTTTTTAAGCAGCCCAGAATATTCACTATAGATATGCAAAGTTGGCTGCAAGTAAAAATTATTTCTCTCCAACATGCCTAGTAGCTAGTTCCAATTTTCCTAGTAAAATGCCCACTCAACAGTATTTCTTACTCATTTAATAACCCCCAAATAACTGTTATGCAAAGGAAAATATGTCAAATGCCACTAAAGTGTAAAGCATATTGGAATCCATCTGAGGAGTGAGGAGGTACATCTGACTGGGAAATGAGAAAGTTTTAAAGAGAAGAAGTCATATTATCTCAACCTTGGGAATGAAATAGTTTAATTCAACAGATATTTACTTAGTGATTACTTTAATCCAGCAAAATGCTGTGAACTGCAGACTTAAGGAATCAGCAAGACACAGTTCATGACATCAAAGAGTTTATAGAAAAATGGGAGAATTTAGACATGCATCTGTTGGTGAAAAGTGTTTGATGGTGGAATGGAATAATAGAAAGATTATATGAATGAAAGCATGTAAGGCATTAAGGTGTGACGTAAGGGACTATTCAAAAGACAAGAAGTCCTCTTAGCTTAGCGGGAGCAATTTATGGAGAAGGAGCAACAGGAGACAGGAAGCTAAAGATAACTTGAGCCAACAGAAGAAGTTAGTGAAAGATTTTAAGCAGCAAACTGATACATACAGCTCTTTACTGCAGGAGAAGTAAAGTTTGATGGAAAGAAAAGCAGAAAATCAGATGGGAGCCTATGCGTGTAATAAAATTAATGATGAGAAGAGTGAATGGTAGGAAGGAAAGAGAAAGGGAAGGGAAAGGTTCATGGTGGAAATGGAATGAATAGCCACTGGTTACATGAAGGTAGAGAGCAGAACTCAAGATGACTCAGGTTTTGAACCTATATATCTATGCAGAGAGTATCATTGACAAAGATAGAGAAGATATGGTTGGAGAATATCAATTGAGCTCCATTATAGATGCAGTAAATTGTAAAGTCCCTTAGAACTTCTAGGAGTAGGTAAATAATAAGACATTGAAATGGAAAATTGAAACTGGAGAGATAAGTACAATTTAAAGATACACGTATCCAAGTATTGGAGAGCAGTGTTATCTAGTTAACTATATCTTTTGAAAATGCATATAAGCGATAGAAGGTGGGAGATAATTTCTGCAAAAATAGATGGGACTGCAAATTCAGAAAATTTCTAGAAGAATATGGCTGATATCTTGTCCAAAGTGAAGATCAGGTTGCTACAGCTTCCAGCCCTGGACAGTTAAGAAAGTGACATAATATTTAGAAGGTGTCTGTCAGTTTGAGAGGCAGTTTTTAACAGTTGATGCTCTGTTCCAACCCAGGTGATAAATAGAGCACCAGGGTTGTAAGTTTTGATTGGGATCCAATGCAAGAAAAGATTCTCCAGTTTATCAGGTTACAGTGTAAATAATTCTAATACTTGGTTCTTATGACCTTTGGTAGATCTTGCTGCTCAAGGTGTCTATATCAGAATTTGAAACAGTTTCACGTCTGGGGACAGTCCCAATATGAAAATCAAATAGAATTTCCAGAGGAATTCCTGGGAATTCCCCAAAATTTCCAGATACTGCCTCATCACTTTCTCAGTGTAACTATCTTCTTTCTGAGAAAGAGCTCTTACTTGTTATTGGATTCCAGTTGACTCTGATACTACAAAGGCTCCATGATCCCAAGCTTCCCTGCTTTGTATTTGATTCTTTATTTTAGGCCCCAAGCTCCTTAAGGATAAGATACTGTAGCTTATTTATTTTTCCATGCTCAAATCACAAGGTGTTCAGCAATTATCATGTGCTCAAAATATATTGATCAAAAGTCTGTTCCCTTGGCCTGGTAAATATTGACATCTATGTAAGAAAAAAAATCAGACTGATTCTCTCTCTCTCATAATAGAAGAGGAAAATTTGGAAAAGTACTAAAACTCAACAATAGAGAAATGGTTGATTAAACCATCAGATGTATAAAATAGAATGTTATACAATCATTAAAACCGTGGTTTTGAAGAATACGATGACATGGAAACAGAACTAAAATACGAGGTGTTAAGTTGTGAACACAGCATATTTGCAATTTCATATACAAATCTACGTAATTATGAAGGTAATAAAAGTGACAAGAATTCCTTTTAGAGTGGGGATTATTTTGGTTTAGAAACACATGTTGAGCCTATTCAAATAGAACATAAAACAGATATAGGTTAGTAGGAAAAACGAAACAGTGTCAAGTGAGTCGAGTGACAAAATGGATGTGTTGGAAAGCTTCTCTGATAACATTTGAGAGGAAATTTGAAGGGTTTGGGAGATATTCTGGAATCTTTATTCACTGGTGGGAATGATCCAGTAATGAGTATGATGGAGTAGAGAGAGGAGAAAGCTATAGGAGCCATGTCCTGGATCAGTGCCCAGGTGTTAGCCTTAGTCATGGTGCAGACAATCCCTCCACCGTTTAGGCGGGCAGGCAGATGCCGTTGCAGGTACATTAATAGGTATGGTGGTGGCAGCTTATGAACATCTCTTCTTATTGCTTCTGTTTTCTCAGAAGAGTAAGAAGTAAGGTCATCAAATAAGACTGAAAAAAGATAAGAAAAGAGAATAAAATAATAGAGATTGTTCTATAGTCAACAATGACTGAAATGAGTTGAAATGTCAATTCGTTCTCCTATTCTCTTACATGATGTATGAGATAGTCACGTAAGAGATTAGGGGAACGAGTTGACATTTAGAGACTGTAAAACAATCTGTATTGTTTTGTGTATTCTGGGTGAATTTATAATTTATCCACAAGTATAGAATTTCCAGTTTCACATCACTTTCTATCTTTTCCAGCTCTTTCTGACTAATGTGTTTAATCCAATGGCAAATATAGAAAATAAAGCGAACGGAACTCTTTCAATTCTAAAACTCCTGAAATAACTTGTCATAACTAAAATGTTCATTTCTCTGTTGCTGATGAAATCGTTACATTTTTCTCCCTCATCAACAGGGTGGTGGTGATTGTCCAGAAATGAGTATTGGAGCTATAAAAATTGCCTTGGAAATTTCTCTTCCTGGTTCTTTCATCTATGTTTTCACTGATGCCCGGTCCAAGGATTACCGGCTCACCCATGAGGTGCTGCAGCTTATCCAACAGAAACAGTCACAAGTGAGTAGGAATCTGTCTCCAACCTTTCCGTCTGAATACGAAATGTAGGAGGTTGCCTGTGCATTTTGACTATTCTGTGGGTGGTAAATAACAAAAATTATACCTATCCACAGGTTTGTACTCCAATAGGCGTGGGTCATTTATTTAAGCATATTAAATGTATGTGTGATATATACACACACATATACATACACATGCCTAGCATATGAATGCTTTGTTTTTCAATATGGAGAAGAAATGACTGGGGATTAATTAAGGTACTTGTTACCATTTTATCCTTCTAACTGACAAAAGCATAGGCCTAACAAAAAAAGGTTTATATTTCAGCGTTACCTCTCATGTGGCAACATGCCTGAATCAGAGTCATTCATTGTATCCACAATTGTTGCATAACAAACTAGACTGACACTCAATGGCTTAAAACAATAAGCATTTATTTCTTACATGTTCACAGAGTTCAGTTGGTGTAGGCTTGCTTACTTGGGAAGAGTCTGGGTTTGGCTTATCTAAACTTGGCTCTGGGGCAACTTGGCTCTGGGGCAACTTGGCTTTGCTTCACAGGTCTCAGCCTCTTTGTGAGACCAGTGGGTTAGTTTAGGCATGTCCTTCTCACGGTTACAGCAGAAATACTTGAGAGCAAATTGAAATTGACAAGGGCTATTGAGTCTAGGCTCAGAATTTGCAGAATGGCCCTTTTGCCCCTTGTTATTGGCCATAGGAAGTCACATGGCCAAGATCAGATTAAAAGATGACTAAATGAACTCCTCTTTAATGAGAAGAACTTCAAAATCTTTTGACAAAGTATATGAATGCAGGTAGGGGTAAGAATTGAGGCCATCACGGAATCTATCATAGTCATGTCTCCCACTTCCACTTCTGTAACTTTTAGCTTATGCTTCTGAAATATAAACAACTGTGTGCCTATCTGGGTCTGCTATTAAACAGAGTACAAAGTTAAGGATTATTATGTATGTACATATTATTTTTCTACTTGCCTAGTAATATTTTTACACAAGAGATACTGAATATATTTCAATTTCTGAAAACCTATTAAACTTTTGTTTTGTTAAAAAATTACAGGTGGTATTTGTACTCACTGGAGATTGTGATGACAGGAACCATATTGGATATAAAGTCTATGAAGAAATTGCTTCTACAAGTTCTGGTCAAGTGTTCCACCTGGACAAAAAGCAAGTTAATGAGGTCAGTTTAATAAAGGGGTACACATGAGCTACATTACCCAAATCAGTTAGACTAGCCTCATTGTGGCAAGTTTGCTTTCAAAAATAATTTCATGCAAAAGGTTTACTCTAGGCTAGAAGTTAATAAAAGCATTGAAGTAATGTAGTGAAAGAGATTTATCTAACATTAATTTCTGTATTGTATTATGTTATACCAATACATTATTGAATATAAGCATAAATGTATTTGAAATTCATTTCATTAGAATAAAAAATTAAAAAATTTTTTATAGCTTTGGTTGTTTAGAAAGGTCAGTTTGTGTTTCTGATGGATAACTTTTGTACAGCTGAGGTGTGGTTATTGAAGTAGAATGTGAAAAAGTTAACTAGAGCAAAATTCTAATGAGGTTTGGCCTCTAATATTAAAAGTCAAAAACTCTAAGTAACTATATAGTTATAAAAACTTTTATGATAACAAAATCTATAACTTAAATTGTAAAGAAAATATTCGTATTTTCTTAAAAGGTCCCTGGGATAGGTTTGTCACGATCCTTTCTTTGCATTTTGTTATCTTCCCTTGCCCCCCCCCCATGATAATAACATTTCATTTACCTATTTATTCATTTATTTACTTGGTTCCTACTGACATTTCCAGGAACATAGCAGTACAAAGATAATATTTTACATGGGCATAATTCACCTTTGATTGAATGGTCACCATATTTATACAAGTTCCATTAATTTCATGGCAGATTCCTTTGTGCCTTGAAGGATGCAGGTTAGTAGTTCAATTATAACTTGAATTCTTATTGCATCATAGTGGAACCAATAGGACATTGCAATTTCTCCACAGTGTGGCAAAATTATTTTTAATCAGCATATGAGTATTGAGATTGAGAAACTTTAGGACAAGTTTTCTTGGAAGAAACAGTGGTAGAGAGCTTATGGCTTAAGTCCACCTTGTGTCCATTCTAGTGACTAAGAAATGCCTGTACAAGGTCTGATTACTATACAGGGAGCCCTTAGCAGTTAATTTGCATACATGCTTGCATGAGACTTTGGGAGCCTGAGAAGAAAGGGGTTAGAAAGAGTGTAGGACTCTGTTAGGAACTGGGTTTCTTTTCCTATTCTGGATATTGAGCTTGAACCAATGAAGGAAAGGCTGCTGAAAGACATTGTTTTAAAGCTGGAATTCTGTAAGACCAGAGGGTGCAACCAGTATCACCAGCACAAAGTGGGGCGTAAGTAAGGAACAGCATCATTCTATCTTGCAACCACTTGGGCACCAGCTACTTAGGGTTTTATAAGGCTCTGGGTTGGAAGTGGAAGTGGTGTTCAGTGGAGAGAGACGAGGTGTTGGAACCAGCAGAATATGCATTGCACAGTGAATGTGGTGGTTCCCAGAGGAAGGTACTGGGGTAGAGGTGAGAGGACACAGGCCTGACACAGGGGTTTTGAAAAAAATAGTTGCGTGGACCTGCTTATGAGATTGGATGACTTGGATAATTTAGAGATTCCCAAAACAAATTGGGTCAAATTTTAGGGATAATTGTAGAACTAATAGCTGGGCACTGGAGGCAGAGAAAAAACATAGGTATGTCTCACAAGCATGACTACATTTATATCTATATACCCAGGGAAAAATGAGTTACATAAAATTGAAAATATTATTGTCTTAAACAGAAAAAATAAACCCCACAGGTGATAAAAGTTTATTAAATGAACAGCATGATGCATGATATTTATAGTTCTAATAATTTTATTTTATTTTTTATTAAATCATAGCTGTGTACATTAATACTGTCATGGGGTATAGTGTGCTGTTTTTATATACAATATGAAATATTTTCATGAAACTGGTTAACATAACCTTCATGTCATTTTCTTAGTTATTGAGTTAAGACATTTATATTCTACATTTAGAAAGATTCACATGTACCCTTATAAGATGAACCATAGGCGTGATCCCAACAATCACCCTCCATCTACCCACTCTAC